AGGTGGCCTATACTGGCTGGCTCTTTCAGAATCATGGGCTTGGCCAGGTAAGAAAATGTACCTGCAAGAGGTTTTTTTTTTTAATTTAAATCACATGAAGATCGTTTACTCTGAGGTGTTAGTACCGTGAATTGCTCCTTTGTGAAATAGAAATCCTTTAAGAGCATGGTGAAGTCACACTGCTTTGGGAGCATATTCATAAAATGCTAAAATGTCAAGTCTACTCAGTATTATTCTATGTCTTCTACTTGGGGAAAGTAAAAAACAAATACCATTTTTGCTGATTGTTCATGAATATGTTTTATCTTCCTCTACCAGTTTTAAAATTGAATATATTCTTTTTAAATTTTTTTATATGGAGCCAGCGGGTGGCGTGGAGGTTAAGGTGGCTGACTCCTGTCATGTCTTGCACAGCTAAACAAAGGTGTGTTGGGGGAGGGGACTGTTGTGCATTAAAGAATAAACATAAAAATAAACACACAAAGACATACAAGTAAAGAAAAGTGGGGATCGGGTGGTCCTGATTCCTCTGATGGAGGCAGTCATTCCTGAACCATTCTCAGATTTATTTTTTTGAAGGACAGAAAATGGGGGAAGGGGAAGTGGAGTGTAGAGCCAGTTTTTAGATGTAAATTGGCTGAAGATATGAACATGACACCTGGCACCGTGTAGTCTTATTTAAGTTTTTATAAAATCTTTTTAGGTCAATTTGGATGAACACATGTGGCTTTTTTTTTTAACCTGATATTCTGCAGTTTTGGAAACAAAGAGGCAGCTAGCATGTTTACATGTTGATGGTGTTCATTGTCTTGTATATGACTGCCCATGGAACCACATTTTGCATGTATCTAAAGGTCACCATGTTTGTTCCAATTCGGGCCACTCTCTACAGACTCCCACGTGGCCAACTTCATGGTTCAAGTCTCAGACCTGGCAGCTTGAAAATCACATTGACCACATGTGCATGCATGCCCAAAATCTCAGGAAGAAAATGGAGGAGACAGGATTGCATCGTGGTCATCCCCTCTAGTAATACTTTCTTACTATTCTTTTTTTTTCTCTCTTTCTCTCTCTGGCAAGCTCATGTGCCCTATAGCAAACTTAAAAAAAAAAAATCTATTTTATTTCATTTGTCTTTTTTTTTTTGAATTTTCTTTTTTTTTTTTTACATTCAATCATATACATTTCCACAGCATACAAAATGAATCTTCTCAGCATGAATACATTTATATCAGTTCAGTCAAAGACATTATACATTATCAGCAGATAAGTTTATTTGTTTATTTCTTCTTTGATTAAGAGAGAGAATAACAACCTCAACTCTGCAATCCACCTCCAGCCTCCAGCTAGCCCCAATCATTGGCATATGTATGCCTAGCGTACTCTGGGAGGTCTCCAGATGTGAACTGAGAACCATGTGGGACTGGTTCATATAACATTTTTTGTTGCTGCACTGTCTGCCTTTTTTAAGAAAAATTAAAAAAAAACAAAACAAAAACAAAAACAAAAAAACAACAATGTACCAGAGGGTGCATGTGCTTGCCAGAGAGAAACAGAAGGAAAGGGAGAAAGTACTCCCTTTGGTATATGGTTACACTGCAGTCCCTTCTCCATTTCTGCATCACATTGAGATTTTGGGCACACACATACATATGCTCAGCAGTTCAGGCAGGTTTTTCAGACCACCAGATCTAAGATTCAAACTGTGTAGTAGGCCATACGGGATGTGGCTCCCGTAACCCCAAGCAGTAGGCTGACCTCCTTCCCACCCACATTGAGGTGAACTTTTTGAAGACCTGTTTGTATTATTAAGCCATCCAAAGCAATATAGTATGATAGGGACAAGCAGTTGGCGTGATGGCTATGTTGCTGGACTCCCATGTAGTCGACTGTAGTTCAAGTCCTGGCCCCGGTGGCTTAAACTCACGCCGGGCACATGCACATGCGTGCCCAAGATCCCGAGAGGAGATTGGAGGAGAAGGGATTGCGGTGTGGCCATCCCTCCGGGGGGTGATTTCTCACTTTCTGTCTCTTTGTCTCTGTCTTTCTGGTGAGCACACGCGCCCTATAGTAAAAACCTCTCCAAAAAAAAAAAAGAAAGATAAAAGAAAACAATATAGTATGACAGATCTTTAGACTATGAATTTTTTGAAAGTATGTATTCAAGTCCCGTTTTTATCATTATTTGACCTTGATTGAGTCATTTATGCTCTTATTTTTTTTCTAGTTGTGGATAAAAGTGAATAACCCTCGACTCTGTTTACCTAGCAAGATTGGTGTTAGCATCACAGATCATTTATTTGAGGATCCTTTATAAATGAGAAATGCTTGAGTATATGTTGATAGAAAATGTATTTTTTTCTAAATCTGGAAAAACATTGGCTCAGAGATACTCATTGTGATAACACCCTGTAATTTTAATGTGGTCCCATCTTTTCAGGTCCTTTAAGAACTTATTTTCCAGACCAGCAGGTGGCAAGGTGATTAAGGCACTGGATCCCACAGGGCCTACTACATGATTTATATGGTTCGAGTCCTGGACCCAGTGGCTTGAAAAACATGCTAGATACATGTGCATGCCCAAAATCCCAAGAGAGGAATAGGGAAGAAGGGGTTGCGGCATGGCCATTCCCCCCGGGGGTGGGGTGGAGGCGTGGTTTCTCGCTTTTTCTTATTCTCTCTCTCTCTCCAAAGAGCACACACACCCTATGGCAAGAAAAAAGAAATACCTAAGAATAAAAAAAACTTATTTTCCCGGTATATTTCATACCCCCTATTTTTGTGCTGGTATGTAGTTAGTTAAATGTCATAATTATGATTATTATTTTTTTTAAAGAATTTAATTTTATTCATCATTATCATTATTTTTAAAATTTGACCAGAGAGAGAGAATGGGAAAGTGAGAAAGAAAGTTGCTGGGTCTCAAACCATGGTTGGCCATGTGTGAGTCCAGCACCTCAACCACCACACCATCTGCTGGTCCTCATGACGATTATTATTAGAGAGGTCTTTAAAAAATGAATGGGAGATGTGGGGCCGGCAGATGGCATGGTGGGTGCTGGACTCCCACGTGGATGACTGTGGTTTGAGTCCCGGACCTGGTGACTTGCTTTCTCACTTTCCTTCTCTCTCTCTCTCTCTCTCTCTCTCTCTCTGTGTGTGTGTCACTCTGTCCCTCTCTGGTCAAATTAAAATAAAGTTAAAGAAAATAATTCTTTTTAAAAAAATTTAATGGAAAATACACATTATGAAAAACTATATATGGATTTCAAAAATTTTTGCACCAAAATTAACTCAGACTTTAATCCCATTTTTCCACAGACTTTTTGGAGTCCCCTTATGTTTGTGAAATTGGCTGACTTCATTTACTTTTCTCAAATTTCAGGTGTTTGATTCCACAGCTAACAAAGATAAACTGCTTCGCCTGAAGTTAGGGTCAGGAAAAGTCATCAAGGTAAAAGCTTCACTCTGTTTCTGCATGTTCTTTTTTTTCCTTTTTTTCTTCAGTTGGAGAGGGCTTAAATTTAGATGAAGTTTTGTGGAATTTCTTTTTTTTGAGAGGTTTATGCTATAGGGCACATGCACTCGCCAGACAGACAGAGACAGACAGAAAGCGAGAAATCACCCCCTGGGTGGATGGCCACATGACAGTCCCTTCTCCTCCATTCTCCTCTCGGGATCTTGGGCACACACGCACACATGCCCTGTGTGAGTTTAAGCCACCCGGTCCGGGATGCGAACCACGGTCGACTACGTGGGAGTTCAGCGACATAGCCATTACGCTAACTGTTGGTCCCAAGTTTTGTGGAATTTCTAACCTAGTTATATCTTCTAAGAATCTGGAACTTCTAAAAATAGGAGAAGTAGGAAGAGAAAAATTTATCTGCATTTGAAATATTTTTACACATGAAACACTATCTTGAAGTTGGATACGTTTATGTTTTATAGTCCCTATTTTTTTTTTTGGAGAGGTTTTTGCTATAGAGCGCTTGCCCTCGCCAGAAAGAGAGAGACAGAGAGATAGAAAGTGAGAAATCACCCCCTGGGAGGATTGCCACGCCACAATCCCTCCTCCTCCATTCTCCTCTCAGGATCTTGGGCATGCACGCACACGCGTCTAGCGTGAGTTTAAGCCACCAGGTCTGGGACTCATACTGCGGTCAACTACATGGGAGTTCAGCAACATAGCCATTACACTAACTGCTGGTCCCAGTTCCTACTTTTTCATTTTCATCCTGTGACTCTGAGGAAGCTACATTCTTCCTATAGCCTAACAGGGAAGGTGACCCTGTTACTTGTAGAAGAGTGTCCTAAAAGGTGATTCTCATGTCTGGGTGCTTTGAGTCAGCACATGCCAATCCCTGTGGAAGGCAACTCTGACGTAGAAAGGAGAATGAGAGGGTCTAGGTTTAGGTGGTGAGTTTTTTATCAACTATATTTTATAAAATAAAGAGTGTTTATTTTATAAAATAAATACTCTTATATATAAAAATGCCAGGTGGCATGGTGGTTAAGACACTGGACATTCCCACATGGCCGACCACAGTTCAAGTCCCAGAGCCGGTGGGTGGCTTGCTTTCTCACTTTCCTTCTCTCTCTCTCTCTGTCTGTGTGTGTGTGTTATCAAATTAAAATAAATGAATTAATGAGTAAAATTAAATAAAATAATTCTTTAAAAAAAGTATTTTACACATGAGAGTCATTTGGTTTTAGGACATACTCATACACTATACAGTTCTCATTCATCCATTCATCACTTTGATGACTGCTTCATCTTCTGGAATTTTTTGGTGATTTTTTTCTTTTCCTGTGGATTATAGCAGTTGAGGCATGATCCTCGAACCTAGACACATGGAGAGTTGGATCTTGGCTTAATAACTTAGTAATTGTATGATCTTGGGCTAGTTATTCCTCCAAAGCAGGGATTTGAACTGTGGTTGGCCATATGGGATCTGGCTCCCCGTGCATAGGGCCTAACTGCTGTACCACAAGACTAGCCCTAAAATTAGGGTTTTTTCCCATAGAGTAGAATTTTATATTGCTCTTAAAGAATATAAAAAATTTTTCATTAAGCGAAAGGTTAACAAGAGGTTATTCCATAAACTTTAGTTTCCTTATATGTAAAATCTTAAAAATAAAAGTGGTATCATTGGAAAGAACAGCTTGGGAGTATAAAGGACAAAGGTTGTATGTCCTTCTTAGGTCTCTCTTCAGGATCTAGAAGATGTGACTTTAAGCAAGTCACCTGTCCACACTGAGCTTCTTTTTATTTCCTTTGTAAAATGCACATATCTTTTGACTTAGTCTGCCGTAACAAAATTATGGGGATAATGCAGTCAACCTTAGGAAGTTTTTTGGGGGATTAAGCATGTAAAATGATTATCACAGTACATAGGAAAATGTGCTTACTAAATGATAACCTTTATTTCTCTCTTATTGCATTCTTTTACCCCTCCCCATTTTTTCTTCATTATCTGATTTAATTATATTTTATCCAACCCCAGATATGCCAGCTTTTACAAGTAGATTTAGAAGCTGTATTCTAGCAAGGGGGAGATATCATGATGAAGGTGGTGGTTCTCCCAGGACAAGGCTGCTCATTGCCTCACATGCAGAATCTGTGCTAGCAGGGGTCTGTATTCACGTTCTCCCCTGGCACGTCTTGGTTCAAGACAGACAGTGACCAACAATGTCCATGTGCCCTTTTTTCTCCTTATGTCTTTGTGTTCTCTCTTAAGTCTTTCCTTGCACCACCATATTAAAAGTTCCACCATAAAAAGAAAGATATTCTAGATAATTTTATAATCAATGTGGGGTGATGGTTGAACTTGACCTCTGGAAGCACAGACTAAACTAGAAATGTGGATAAGAGAAACTTCATGCTCTAGTATTTTACTATGTCTTGTGAGGAGTTTCTTTTTTTTTGGAGAGGTTTTTGCTATAGAGCGCGTGCGCTCGCCAGACAGACAGAGAGAGACAGAGAGACAGAAAGTGAGAAATCACCCCCCAGGGGGGATGGCCACGCAGCAATCCCTTCTCCTCCATTCTCCTCTCGGGATCTTGGGCACGCCCGCACATGCACCCAGCGTGTGTTTAAGCCACCGGGTCCGGGACTCAAACCGCGGTTGACTACGCGGGAGACCAGTGACATAGCCATTACGCTAACTGCTGGTCACTTGTGAGGAGTTTCTTAACTGATGAACCTTTTCTCATCTCTCTTTCCCAAAGAGCTGGGAGGATGGAATGCTGGGCATGAAGAAAGGAGGAAAGCGCTTGCTCATCATCCCTCCTGCCTGTGCTGCGGGCTCTGAGGGGGTAATAGGCTGGACTCAATCGACAGACTCCATCCTGGTGTTGGAGGTAGAAGTTAGGCGGGTGAGTAAAACTGTGCTGTGTTGTATTTGATGAACCCTCTGAATATACCCACTAATTAAATTCAGTGGTCATGTTCAGAAATCAAGTTTTGAAGATATAGATTTATTTTAAAAAATAAAATTCAGGCTCTGGACTCCCACATGGTTAACCATGGTTTGAGTCCTGGTGGCCTGAAAATCACACTACGTGTGTGTGGGTGCGTTCCCAGTATTCCAGGAGGAGCATGAAGAGAAGAGATTGTGGCATGACCATCTCCCTAGGAGGTGATTTCTCATTTTCACTATGGCAAAAACCTTAATTTTTTAAAAAAAAAAACCTAGTACTGGGACCAGCAGATGGCATAATGGTTACATTGTTATACTCCCAATTAATCGACTGTGGTTCGAGTCCCAGACCCAGCAGCTTAAAACTCACACTCAAGAGGGATTTCAGTGTGGCCATCCCCTGTGTGTGTGGGGGGGTGATTTCTCACTTTTTGTCTCTTTGTCTCTCTCTGTCTTTTTGATGAGTGCACATGCCCTATAGCAAAAATCTCTCTAAAAAAAACACAAAAAAAATTAATACTATACCTTCCCCCAAAATGACCCTCTTTGCTATATATTGAGTCATCAGAAAAGTCATGATGTATTTTTCTGTGCAAAAAGGTGTCATGACTTCCCCAATGACCCAATATTTATATTTATCATGTGTGATAGTGCTTGTTACTGTGTTATAAAATGTAAATAATAAATATTATGATTAGCTTTATTGTGCCTATTTTATCCTCTCAGAGGCTCTCTATTTTTTAACTTAATTTAATTTATTATTATTATTTTTTAATTTGCTGTAGGGTATGTGTACTCACTAGACTGAGACAGAAAAAGTGAGATAGTAAGCCACCAGGTCTGGAACTCCAACCATGATCAGCCATGTAGGAGTCCAGCACCTTAACCATCACACCACCTGCAGGCCCTCAGTAACTTTCTTCTAATGGGACACCTTCATTTCTGCCAGGCCACTCTAACACTCCTACAGTGATGTGCTCCCATTTGCCAGGTTTTTTTTTAGCTTTTTTTTTTTTAAGGTTTTGTCATAGGGTGCACATGCTAGCCAGAGAGAGAAAGAAACAGTGAGAGGGGAAGTAAGAAATCACCCCCCAGAGGAGATGGCCACACCACAGTCCCCTCTTCTCCATTCTCTTCCTGGGATTTTGGGTACCCATGCATACATGGCTAGCATGATTTTCAAGCTACCTGGTCTAGGACTCAAACCAGGTTGGCCACGTGGGAGTCCAAGTGCCTTAACTACTGAGCTGTCTGCTGGTCCCTTTTTTTATAGCTTTTTTAGTCTCTCAATTTTTCTTTGCATTTGAAGAAATCCTTACCAATACTGGCTTTTGTAAACTTAAGAAAAAATGTTCCATTTTGCCAAGAATCGAAGAATTATAAATTGACATGCATATTAAATGGACAAGACTGATGGAGCATGTTAATACACAGCGTGATACGAGTGTGAGAAATATTTATACACTATGTGTGTCTAAACTAGTTCACTCTTGGGACAAGGCACTGGACACGCCCACATGGCTCACCATGGTTCGAGTCCTGGACCTGGTGGCTTGCCTTCTCACTTTCTCTCTCTCTCTCTGATCAGATTTTTTTTAAAAAATGAGTAAATAAAATCAAATAATTCTTTAAAAAAACTAGTTTTATCTTTATTGTGGAAAATTTAATGGTACCTATTAAAAGTCTTAAAAGTGAGCATATTTTATTTACCCAAAAGTTTGTTTCCCTTCTGGGAGTTTATATTTGACAAGTATTTAAGATTATATGCAGTAATATAGCTGAAAAACTATTCATAGAAGTATTATTTAAGCTAGAAATAAGCCGAATGACTAGCAGTGAGGAATGGAGAAAATGTATTTTGTAACCGTCCAGATTTTTATGACTTTCAGTTCCTAAAATCTTTTGGAGACTCTTTTTTCCTGTAGACCATAGCAATAAAGGACGTGACCCTTGAAGTCAGACATACTTGTCTGTCATTAGAATTAATGTTGCACGTTAATATTCAGTGACATGGAAATATGGTAATGTGTCAGTGAGTAAAACACATTACAAAACAGTATGGCCCATTTTTATGAAAAATACGTAACACACAGATAATATGATAGTTAAATTGCAGGTGATTATTAGCTTTTTTTTTTTGTTTATCTACGTATTCTGATTTGCCTACAATGACTAGGTTATGGCTTAGGTAATACAGAAGAAGTAAGTGAAAGGAGGGTGGTGGGAGAAGGGCGTGTACAGCCTGTCCCACCTGTGGTGGCTCTTTCCCCAGGTGAAGTTTGCCAGAGACTCTGGCTCTGACGGGCACAGTGTGTCTTCCCGGGATTCTGCGGCCCCGTCTCCCATACCTGGTGCTGACAACGTCTCTGCAGATCCCGCTGTGTCCCCACCCACATCATTGCCTTTCAAGTCTGGGTGAGATACCGCAGTTGTATCAAGCTCTTTCATTGTTCGTAAAAGTGATTCTCAGAGGGTTTCAGAAATAGAGATATGGTTAAAAACTAAAATGAGTAACTGGGAAAAAGTCAGACCAGGGAAATGGGGAAAATACTTGCATCATATTCTTTGTCAAAGGATTAATATTTATAGTCTATAAAATCACTAACTCGGATTTTAAAAAAAAACCTGCAAAACTGGGAGAAAAATTGAGCAAAAGGCATAAACACAAAATCTATATCCATGGGGATAAAACTCAGTTAATAAGCATTTGGATGGGAAATTGTTAATCTTCACTAGCATTCAAAGTGTGCAAATTAGAGAAGAGTTAAAATTCTATGTTTTGGCCATTACATTGGCAAACATTTTCAAAAACAATTTGCTTGTTGAGTATAACCTGAGTTTGAGATCATGGAGTTTGTTTTTGTCTCACGATATGCTCGTTTGCTTTCAGGGAGCCGGCTCTCCGTTCCAAATCTAACTCCCTCACCGAACAGCTTACGATAAATACGGTAAGTCTAAGAGCTGTCTCTCTCACCCCTCATATACTGAGAAGGTCGCATGTGCCTGTGGTGGACTGGAGAAAGGGGAAACGTTGAGAACTCTTGATTTAGGTTAGAAATCAATAGTTACATTATTCATTTCCTGCTACGTGGGTGTCGCTGTAAGTTATCCTGGGCTAATGGTAGGCATACCCTTGGTTCTTCTCTTGGTTCTTATAAGCATTTGGCCTTGAGAAAATTATCTAATTTCTCTGATCCTCAATTTCTTCATTATTAAAATGGAAATACTTCTCACAGTCCCCTTACACAGTTCTTGTCAAGATTAGAGATATTTATAAATGGCATGACGTCATTTTTTATAGCTCATTGATTGATTGATTGATTGATTGATTGATTGAGATTTTCAGGCCACCAGGTCTAGGGCTTGAGCCATGGCTGGCCATGTGGGAGTCTAGTGCCTCAGCCACCGTGCCACCTACCAGCCCCTGTATAATATGTATTTTTTTAAAAAAGAATTATTTATGTTTATTTATTTATTTATTTCAATTTGACCAGAGAGGAACAAAATGAGAGACAAAGAGAAAGTGAAAAAGCAAGCCACCAGGTCTGGAACTCGAACCACAATTGTCCATGGGGGTGTCCAGGCCCTTAACCACCATGCCACCTGCTGCTCCCATAATATGTCTTTAATAAGTGGTAGCATTGATTATTATTAAGATAATGGTATTAGATTGGGGAGCCTCTCAGGTAAAGTATACTTCAATCTTAGAAATACTGTTTATTCAAAGAACAGTAAGTTGGTAGTTAATCTTAGGCACCCTCTGATACTCACTCTCTGTGACCTTAAGGAACTTAGCTTCCCTCAGGAACCAGCACCTAGCGTGATGGCTGTGTCGCTGGACTCCCACCTAGTCGACCGCGGTTCCCATCCCAAACCCAGTGGCTTAAAAGGTGGCTTAAAACTCACGCCGGGCGCGTGTGCGTGTGTGCCCAAGATCCCGAGAGGAGAATGGAGGAGAAGGGATTGCAGCGTGACCATCCCCCCTGGGGGGTGATTTCTCATTTTCTGTCTCTATGTCTGTCTCTGTCTGTCTGGCGAGCTCACGTGCCCTATAGTGAAAACCCTTAAAAAAAAAAATAAAGAAGGAACTTAACTTCCCTGAATTTCAAGTTTCTTTCCTTATCTATGAACTGGAGATTGCCTATCTCAAATGGAACTTAAAATACTGCCTATGGAGTTTTTAGTATTATGTCTGGCATATTGTAAAAGTTCATTGAGCAGTAGCTCTGTTATTACCATAATTGTCACTAACACTCATATTCACCTTCTTTCACTCTCAGAGGAATTTGGCACCAATTCACCAATTAATTGACTGCACATAGGTCCCTGGGCCTCTGTGAAATGAAAGGCAGAGAGTACTGTATTAGTTAAGTTCAGATTTGAATGCCTTTTAGGACTTCCTAAACTATGCGGTAGTTTGCTGTAGGTGGACCAGACCATGGGTAAAGCACTCCAAGTTTTAACGCCTTCCCTACCACACTGGGAACTAGAGAAGGTGCATGCAGGGAAATTGATGCGTACTACCTCTTCGACCCTGGTTTACTTGTATGTATTCAGCACAAAGCAAGAATTAGTAAACAGATAGTTGATCCGATTTGTGTAAAATGGTCCCCTAAACCCAGAAGTTTAAAGAATCTGAATAAGACTGAAAAATAGGGCCAGCCCTGTAGCCTAGTGGTTAAGGGAAACTGTATCCCATCTGGCAAATTGCAGTTTTAGTCCCAGCCCCAGGCACTTGAAAAACACACCAGATGTATATGTTTGCGTGTCTCAACTCCCAGTGTGTTGGAAAATGGAAGAAAAGAAGTATTCGGGCATGACCATTCCCCATGGGGGTGATTTCTCCCTCACTCTCTGTCTTTCTGTCTCCATCTATTTTCTTTTCTTTTCTTTTCTTTTTTTTGGAGAGATTTTCACTATAGGGCGCATGCACTCGCCAGACAGACATAGAGACAGAAAGCGAGAAATCACCCCTCAGGGAGGATGGTCACTCCGCAATCCCTTCTCCTCCATTCTCCTCTCAGGATCTTGGGCACGCACGCACACGTGTCCAGCGTGAGTTTTAAGCCACCAGGTCTGGGACACGAACCGCGGTCAACTAGGTGGGAGTCCAGTGACATAGCCATTACACTAACTGCTGGTTCCCTCTTTCTGTCTCTTTCTAACAAGCATATGTACCCTCTGGCAATTAAAAAGAAAAAAGAAATTAAGTTCTCAGATTTTTAAACAGCCAAACATTGCACATTATTGATGCCATTGTACTTTAGTCACAGCTACTGTATACATCTGCTAGCCTACTTGTTTTCTTTTTTGAACAATTCTGTTTCACTGTAATCAAGACAACATTTACTTAACATAAAATTAGCCCTCCTTTTTGCATTTTATTTGAATAGATGATAAACAAGATATGCATTGCAAGGACTCATTTCTATTTCATCTACCCTATTCTATTTCATACTCCTTAGTTAGCTTTTATTAATTTCTTATATATCCTTTCAGTGTTCCTTTACATAGGAGCAAGCAAAGAGTAATGCTTTTTTTTTTTTAATTTTATTTTTGAGAGGTTTTTGCTGTAGGGCACGTGCACTCACCAGAAAGACAGAGACAGAGACAGAAAGCGAGAAATCACCCCCCCCAGGGCGGATGGCCACGCCGCAATCCCTTCTCCGACATTCTCCTCTCGGGATCTTGGGCACGCACGCACAAAGGCCTGGCTTGACTTTAAGCCACAGATCCGGGTCTCAAACTACAGTCGACTACGTGGGAGTCCAGTGACATAGCCATTACGCCAACTGCTGGTCCCGATCTTGCCTACCTTTGGGGCTGTATACTCTTCTTCATTCTGAGGACTGCACTTTGGACCAGTTAGTTAATGGATACAGAATCTTCTAGTGCTTGCTCTAGTGTGTAGTTTATGCCAACTCAGAACAATTTAGAACAAAGAACTCCTGTTTCCTCTCCGCAAATCTCTCCTAAATGTCTGCCTACCAGATTGCTTCAGCCTTTTGAAAAGGGTACTATCGACTAACATGCCTCCCTCCCTTAACATCTTTGCCTTAGTTTTTCATCTCAAAGATGAGAGTAATTATGCCTGGTGGAAGACTTGATTAAAATGAAGTAATATTATACATAGATTATTTTTACTACTATTATGAATTGTAACCTATGTATCCTTCTGTACAGGAAATCGTTTTTGTTTGTTTTTAAAATTTTTCAGTTTATTGTCTACAAGAATCATGTAGTTCCCATTTTCTAAAGGAAATTATTTCAGATAACTATGGCAAGGGAATTTGTTAAAGAATTTGACATAAAGGTCAAAAGAATAGAGCTGCCTGGGGAACCAGCAGTTAGTGTAATGGCTATGTCGCTGGACTCCCACGTAGTCGACCGCGGTTCGCGTCTCGGACCCGGTGGCTTAAAACTCACGCCGGGCGCGTGTGCGTGCGTGCCCAAGATCCCGAGAGGAGAATGGAGGAGAAGGGATTGCGGCGTGACCATCCCCCCTGGGGGGTGATTTCTCGCTTTCTGTCTCTATGTCTCTCTCTGTCTGTCTGGTAAGCGCACGCGCCCTATAGTGAAAAAAACCTCTCCAAAAAAAAAAAAAGAATAGAGCTGCCTGAACGTAACGAATCTTGATGACCCTGATTTTTGTGACTGTTGCTCTCTTTTTAGAGTCCTGATACGGTCAAGGCCAAGTTGATCTCTCGGATGGCTAAAATGGGCCAGCCCATGCTGCCCATCATTCCACCACAGCTGGATTCCAATGACTCAGAACTCGAAGTAAGTCCTCCTGACTCCGTTAGAATGAATAGAACAGATATTGCCATCTTCTGTCCCTTTGGTTGAAATGGTCGCTTTTTCTTTTTCTGCCTCTAACCCAGAATTATTTTTGAGAAGGCTGTATGTGCAAAACGATTCAGAGTGGTGTTCCTACTGAGGAATGGAGGCAGTTCCGTATGTCTGCTATGTAATGTAGCCTTCATTTGTTAGAGCTTCTGTTGTCAATTAAGATTGCTCTTTAAGATGCATTGAGGGAACCAGCAGTTAGCGTAATGACTATGTCGCTGGACTCCCACGTAGTCGACCGCGGTTCGTGTCCCGGACCCGGTGGCTTAAAACTCACGCCAGGCGCGTGTGCATGCGTGCCCAGGATCCCGAGAGGAGAATGGAGGAGAAGGGATTGCGGTGTGACCATCCCCCCTGGGGGGTGATTTCTCGCTTTCTGTCTCTATGTCTCTCTCTGTCTGTCTGGCGAGCGCACGCGCCCTACAGTGAAAATCTCTCCAAAAAAAAAAAAAAAGATTTATTGAGAAATGCTGGTCTTCTCACTCATGTTATCTATTTGTTACAAAAGATGAAGCTGTTAGGTCTCTTGATTTTGTGGTGTTTTTTATTTAAGTATTTATTAATATACTGTATGAGAGAGAGATCACTAAGAGATTAGCCATGTGACCCTCTTGCTCCATGCTATCCTTGCGTTTGTCTGGAACTACAGGTGCATGCCATCTCTTCAGGCCTGTTTTGGTTGGTCTGTGAGTCAAACCCAGGCCTCCCTTGTGGCTTTAGCCTTTGAATAGCAATGTCTTAGCAGTATATGCAACTGTAACTTAATCTAATTTTATTCAAATTTATTGAAATAAAATGTTTTAGCTCAAACATTTTATTGAAATAGAATCTGTCAGGCCCGCTGTTCTGGCATTTTGCAATGCTGAAGCCATGTGAGAAGGTCCTGATTCTACATCCTAAGATCTCCCTGTACACACCAAGAGCTTACACACATGCCCATGATCCTTCTTAATGGAGGACAGGGATGGATCCCGGTGTCAAGACCATGTTGAGGAGGTGCCCGTCTCTCTTTTCTTTCTCTTGCGTTCCCCCACGCTTAGTTTCTCTCATGAAAAAAAAAAATAGATTAAACAAACAAACTATGGGACCAGCCTGTGGTGGGGTGGTTAAGGCAACTGGAGTCTACAACACCATCTGCGTGATTCGAGTCCTGGACCTGGAAGCTTAAAAAACGCCAGGTGTGTGTGTATGTATGCCCAAAATCCTGAGCGGAAAATGGAGGAGAGGGGACTGTAGCATGGCCATCCCTCCTGGGGGTGTTTTCTCATCCCCCACTACATCTGTCTCTCTCTCTCTGGTGAGCACATGTGCCCTTTACTAAAAACCTATTTTAAAAAGTATTTCAGATTTAGATCTAAGTTTTTAATTCATCTGGAATTTGGTTTATGATATTAAGTAACTTATTTTTAACTGAATTCTTTTCCTGGTGGTTAGGTCCTTGTTCGATAGACCTGTCCTTTCTCAATTGAATTGAAATACATAACAGAGATTTTTTTTTTGGAGAGGTTTTTGCTCTAGGGTGTGTACGCTCACCAAAAAGATAGAGACAGACAGAGAGACAGAAAGTGAGAAATCACTCCCTGGAAGGGATGGCCACACCACATTCCCTCTCAGGATCTTGAGCACACACGCACATGTGCCTGGGGTGAGTTTAAGCCACCGGATTCAGGACTCGAACCGTAGTCGACTACGTGGGAGTCCAACGACATAGCCATACTGCTGGTCTCACAGATTTTTTTTTTTAAGGATTTTTTTTTTCATTTTATTGTAAAACAAAGACAAGGTGTAACTGTCAAACATGTTTCTGAAATATACTTTGGTTTTTACAATTTTATTTCTTTCTGGAAAAGCTCTATGTAAGTTAACGTTTGAAAAGAAGATAAGATTTGATTTGATCATAACTCCTTTTGTTCTATGTTGATTTAGAGCAGTAATGATCTAAAACTGGGATATTTCCCCAGAAGAGAATGTCAGAAAATGAGGAGAGGTTCAAAAGTAAAAGAATGTTGGGCCAGCAGGTGGCATGGTTGTTAAAGCACTGGACTCCCATATGGCCAACTGAAGTTTGAGTCCCAGACCCAGTGGCTTGAAAATCATGCCAGGTGCGTGTATATACATGCCCAAAATTCTGGGAGGAGAAGGGACTGTGGCATAGCTGTCCCCCTTGGGGAGTAATTTCTCACTTTCCTTCTCACTGTCTCTCTCTGGTGACCACATGCACCCTATGGGCAAAAACTTGAAAAAAAAAAGGTGAAAGTATGTCTAAGAACCTTTATACGATAGCATAGCAGATCAGTCTCTATGTTGTGCCTCAACCTTCTCTGTTTCTTATATGCAGCAGGAAGGTGCAGAATAACTTTGATTAGAGTTATAGCTATGATTTTTGGAAGAGCTTTTAGTTTACAAAGACAAAAAAATGGTGAGGAAACACACTAAACTGTATTGTCCATATGTTAATGAGGAGCAGCAAATCCTGTCCTGATTTTTACCGAGTACCTTGAAACCTATGGTGATTATTTGGTAGAAGAGAAGAGGCTCGATTTTTTAAAATTAAATTAATTTATCCTTTATTATTATTTTTAATTTGTTACAGAGCATGCACACTCACCAGAGAGCAATAGACAAACAGAGAGGGAAAGTGAGAAAGAAAGCTAGCTATCAGGTCCGGGACTTGAACTGTGGTTGGGCATGTGGAAGACCAGCACGTAACCTACCACACCACCTGCTGACTCCCACGGCTGGATTCTTTTGGAGTTTCCTTGCAAGAGACACCTTGTTTATGGGAATAGATTAGACTAGTCCTAAGTAACTGCTGGTTTGGGAAAGGATACGTTGTAGAGAACTGTTACCTTAACTACCTCAGACAATAAAACATCAGAAACTGAGAAAGTTTAGGGAAATTAGATCTATTTGATTATTTTATATGATTTACAGGGAGACAGGCTCTTATTCTATTGCATAATAGATGCTTTTTCCCCACAACCCACACCCTAGACTCTTGGCTTTCTGTTTGCCTTTTCTTCCTTGTTGCCTAGAAATCCTGTGATGGAAGCAGGTTTAGGGCAGAAGTCAGCCTCGGTCTCCCATTAAGGACCCAATCTTAGTAACCAAAACCCTTGTGCCTGTTTCAGGAGGTGAATACTCTGCGAGGAGCTGGGCAGCCCGTGGTGACCCCATCCATCCAGCCCTCTCTTCAGCCAGCCCATCCAGTGTTACCACAGATGACCTCACAGGGTAAGGAGCCTCTCTGAGCACCATGGCCTCCAGCTGGGTCAGCACCATAGTCGTCTTCACTGTTCCTTCACTATTTGACTGCAGAGTTCTAGTCCTGAGACCTGGACTAGAGTGTAGACCCTATCCGTTTGTCCCTGGGTTGGGCAGTTTTGGACCTGGAGATGTATTTGACTCGCTTGTTGTAACTCCTGCTGTGTTGCATTGTCAGTTTTGGAAATCAGCACTCGGCTATTGAGACACTCCTGTGTGTTATTCTGTACTTCCTGTCAGCTGATGGGATCACAAGTCTGAGTCAGATGCACTTGGGAACACCCAGTTTCCTTCCAGTAGCCCATTGCTGCACGCCAGTGGAGCTGGTTTTAGGAAACTGGATGAGGAGAGTGGTCTGTCCTGAGTCATGACGGTATGTAAGGTGCTAGTCCTGGTTCATACCAGGAAGCCGGGGGCGGCTAACGGTGATAATGTCTTGCTTTACCTCAGCACCTCAGCCATCTGTGTCTGGGCTACAAGCACCCTCTGCTGCCTTAATGCAAGTTGCAACTCTCGATTCACACCCAGCTGTCTCTGGAAATACCCAGTCCTTTCAGGTAACAACATCTAAAACCCAGATTAATTATCAGCTATCATTTATTATGATTCTAGCCAGTGTCTTTTCTTCTTCCTATAAATTACACTCAGTAGCAGTTCTCCAGAGTCGAAGTTTGTCATTTTTCCCACTTCCTGAACTACCACTTTCTCATCTCTAAACCAGGCAGATAATGACCCCCTGTACAGGTTACTGTACAAATTAAATGCAATAAAAAAGCTGCAAGAACAAGCGAAGTACCCAGTAGTAGGCCTGGGCTGGTACGTAATAAGAGACCAATCACTGTGTCCTTTCCTTTGCACACATGCCTAACGGAAGGATATATAGTCCATCTTTTTTTTTTTTTTTTTTTTTTTTTTAAGAGAAATTTTTGCTATAGGGCACGTGTGCTTGCTGGAGAGACAGAGAGACAGAAAGCAGTAAATCACTCCCTAGGGAGATGGTCATACCACAGTTCCTTCTTGTCCACTCTTCTCTCAGGATTTTGGGCACACATGCATATGTGCCTGGCTTGAGTTTCAAGCTCCTGGGTCCAGGACTCGAACCATGGTCAGCCATGTTGGAGTCCAGCTACTTAACCATTATGCCATCTGCTGGTCCCTATATTCCATCTTTTGTGTTTTCTATACTCAACTGAATGGTTACGAGTTCTTTTCTATATCCTGCCGAATGGTTATGAAAGTTGCATGGGAAGTACACCTGGGCTCTGTTGTCTAGTTAGGCTTGAAAGTGATCTCTCAAAGTAGATGTTTTATTTTATTCATTCATTCATGTTTTTCTGTGAGAACAGAAGGTATGGGCAGCAGCCTTTTTGCCTTTGCCGACTCTTCCGCCTCAGCGCTGTTAGCAGGAGTTACTTCCTTGGTGACTCTCTTTTGTTTGCTTTTTGATTTTCCTCACGGACATGTGCACTTGCCAGCAAGATGTGTGAGGGGACCGAGAAAGCACCCATGCGGGGATTGGTCATGCCGCAACCCCTTCTCCACTTCTCCCTCTTTTCAGGATTTTGGGCTTGTGTGCACGTGTTCCCAGTGTGGTTTTCAAGCTTCCAGGTCTGGAGCGTGAACCATGTGGTTGGACATGTGAGATCCAGTGGCCCTAACCACCTGGGCACAGGCTAGCCGCCTTGGTGATTCTTTTTTATTTTTAAAGAATTATTTTTATTTAACTTTATTTATTTTATTTTTGACCAGAGGAAGACAGAGTGAGAGAGGGAGAGTGGGAAAGTGAGAAAGCAAGCCACCAGGTCTAGGACTTGAACTGCAGTCAGCCATGTGGGAGTCCAGCACCTTAACCACCATGCCACCTGCCGGCCCCATAGCCGCCTTGCTGATTCTTAGTAGAGATGTAGGAGTGATGAGCAGGCTGGGTCCCATTCGGATGGGGAGTATCAAAACTGAAATAAATCTCAGCCTTTCTTTCTTTATACCTATTCCTCTTCACTATAGACAAAGACATTTTTTTAAAATATGTATATATATTTTTAAATACGTATAGATATTTTTAAGAATTATTTTATTTATTCATTCATTTATTTTAATTTGACCAGAAAGACACTCAGAGAGAGAGAGAGAGAGAGAGATATATATTAACGGTTAGGTAGTCTTACCTCTGTCACAGGGAGTGAGCTAGATTTCCTTAGTTCAGGAAAGAATAACCACCGTTATTAAAATGATAGCTGCTGTTTATTGAGCATCCGCTATCTGCGAGCACTTACCTCACCAACTGTTAAGAACTTTTCTCTCTGTCACTTCATTTAGTCCATACGATAACCCTATGAGGTGATGTTATGGTCTTCATTTTACCGTTGAGGTGACTGATAAGCATCAGCATCTAACAGAGGAGTATCCTTTGGAAACTGGTGGATTTCGTTTGGAATCTCAATGAACACTCCTTTGAACTCAATGGAAACTTAAGCAGAGTTTGTTTAGTTTTAAAACTTCTTACACAACAAGCCTAATAGTGGGGAATGAATTGAATCTTATCATCAGAGGACTAGGTCCCAATACAAGAGACCTTCCCTCAGTGTCCAGGCAGGACTTCAGTCATGGCTGACCACCGGGTTACATAAATAACTCTCCTGCTGTAAGTCTTACCCATGCCTACCCCTGATCTCATCCAGCTCTAGCTTCAGTGAGCCCGCGTCTCCCCCCTGCTTAGCACCTTATTCCACTGAAGGGAAATGTAAGGCACAGGAATGGTTTGCAAACGGTAGTCACTTGGCCCTTTCTCAGCCCTATGCAGGTGTGCAGGCCTACGCATATCCCCAGGCACCCGCCGTCACCTCCCAGCTGCAGCCTGTTCGGCCCTTGTACCCTGCACCACTCTCTCAGTCACCCCATTTTCAAGGTATGGGGGAGATTCCCTCAGTTTCTTGTCTTTTGCTCTTGCGTGCTCTCCTACCCTTGCTTTTTTATGTTCACTCTGATAGCTCTTTACTTATTGTTTCTTTTCCTTCTTTATTGATCATAGCATTGTTAGAATATGATTTATATTCCATACAGGTCACTTGTTTTAAGTGTGCAACTCAAAGGATTTTTAAAGAAATTTACAGTCGTGTATTATCACTACAATCCAATTACAGAACACTTTCAACATCCCTAAAAGCCTCCTTCTTTCCACATTTCCTCCTTCTTTCCACATTTCCACATTTTGCATTTCCTCCTACCGGACTTTCTAATTCCTCTTTCATAGTGGCTAGAGTTTATAGAAAATAGTGAAAGAGCAAAGCATTGGCAAAGTTGGGAGAAAGCCTGAAGACTCTGGGTGTTCAGGGTCCCGAATGACAGCTCCTTTGTTAAACATTTTAAATTATGAAGCTAATATTTTTTATAATAATGTTAAATTATACACAAGGATATAAAGTAAAAAGTTACCGTCCTTCCCCATCATTAAACTCCCCTGACCATAGGAAAACCATTGTTAGCACTTACTTGGGTGACTTTTCACATATTTTGTATGCATCTGCAAATGTGGATATCTTGCATGCAAAATCAAAACAAAATAAAATGCAAGCAGCTGAGATTGTTTCCGGCCTTGCAGTATGGTTTGTTCTTTCGCTTAGTGATCACCTTTGGTTTTAAGTTGGTGATAAGCAGAAGCCAGCATAATCTGTGGTCTGAAGTGGTAAGGGTTTCCTGAATACAGTCCTTATCTAGAAGCCCTCTCCCTTCTCCATTTGGGAAACCCTTCTTCATTTCCCAAAACTGTCTTCTCTGTAAAGCCTTCCCCTGTTACCCATCCTTCCACTCTCTCCTCCGAGGGACACAGTTGTATCTATGTGTCACCAAAGAGTTAATCCTGTTTTTCTCTGTGCTACTTTTGTACCTTGTACATGGTCCATTTCTTGCACCTAAAATACTCTGTTGTAATACTTTGTTTACATATCAGCCTCCCCAGCAGACTGAGAACTCACCAAGCACTAGAATCGTATTTCATGGCACCCTGTCCAGTCTAGGCTTGGCACGCAGCGGGCTGAATGGGGAAGCAATCTGAGCTGCTGGTGCCGTGGTAGTTCAGAGTGGGCATGCTTGTGAGAGCTACTGGCTTTTCCTCGTGCAGTTTCCTCTGCTCCAGTTTTGTTTGTTTCTTCTTGACTTATGTCTGCTTAGGATCAGGTGACATGGCTTCGTTTCTCATGACTGAGGCCCGGCAACATAACACTGAAATCCGAATGGCAGTCAGCAAAGTGGCTGATAAAATGGATCACCTCATGACTAAGGTGACGGAGTCAGGATTGGGGCTGTGTGGAAAGTGGGGGCGTAAGCGGGGTGTACACAGGGAGCTGTCAGAACTGCAGGTGAACTTTCTTTGTATTCATAGCAGTTAGTGGTTTTTCCCCTAGAAGAGTCCTTACTGTTATTTTGGGAATTAGCAGGAGAAAACTAGTTTACGTTTGAAGATTATCTCAGAAACTTACTAGCTCCCTCAAGAAAATGGTTACATCTTGGGCAAATTGTATTTCTCCATTTTAAATTTTCTCACAAGGTCTTTGGCCTCCCTTTTGTAGGTTGAAGAGTTACAGAAACATAGTGCTGGCAATTCCATGCTTATTCCTAGCATGTCAGTTACAATGGAAACAAGCATGATTATGAGCAATATCCAGCGAATCATTCAGGTGAGGCTGATCGGGAATAGAACACTCAGCCTTGCAGGTCTTGCCTGTCTTCCCTCCCCACCCTCTAAAGCCTCCATTCCAGAAACCGAGGGCACGTGATAAAGGTTATCCTGGGTTAGAAAATCCTGAAAATCCATCATGACTTAATTTAGTCCAAGTGACTCATCTGGATCAGATTCTGGAATATCTTTCTGACCGTATTTCAGAAATCCACTTCATTTTATAGTCATTTGCTCGAGCCATTGTGCACAGTAATTTCGTGTTTGTCAGGTATAAGTGGACATGATGTTTTGCCTATTTGTCTCTGTGCGGATGTGTGCTCTAACTTGCGTCTCAAAATGTGTTAATGATGTCACCTGTCCAAATCGATTCCCTTTTATCTGGCACTTTTCTCTTAAGACACTGACATTGTGAATCATATATTTTGAATTTAGGAAAACGAAAGGTTGAAGCAAGAGATCCTTGAAAAGAGCTGTCGGATAGAAGAACAGAACGACAAGATTAGTGAACTAATTGAACGAAATCAGAGGTAATGACAGGTACGGGGCTTGGCTAGGATGGACAAAGGGGTTTAATAAAGAAATGCCCAAGTTAAATATGCATTCGCTTAGGGCAGTGTTTGCACATGTAATAAATACACGTGTGTTTCTACCATTCCTGTTTCCGGCCTGTCATGTAAAGTATTGCCTCGTTTCTGAGAGGCATTTCAGTAGAAACAGCCCAATAGGCTGACTTTGACTCCTGGCTCTACCCCCTCATTTATTGTATGGCTTTGGGCATTTTATTTGTCCCCTCTGGCCCTCATTTCTTCATGAGAAAATGGTGTTAGTACTTAGAATACTCTGAGATCAGCTTTTCTCTCTTCTTTGTGGGCCGATTCTATTTTAATTAACCAGAATGAACCCAGGCCCTCGCTTACTTTCATGTAAAATTTTAGTATTTTGGGGCCCCGCTGATGGTGTGATAAGGCAACTGGATCCCACATGGCCGACTGTGCAGTTCAAGTCCCAGATCCAGCAGCTTGAAAAACATGCTAAAGTGCATGTACGTACATACCTGAAATCCTGAGAGGAGAATGGCCATTCCCCGGAGGATGATTTCTCCCTTTTCTTCTCGTTCCCTTTATATCTCTCTCTACTGAGTGCATATTCCCTATAGAAAATTACAAAAATTTAAAAATTAAAAAGAAAATTGAAGTATTTTATCATTTTGTAGATCCTTTTAAAATTTAGTGGGTTCAGGCGAACATATCACACAAATCAATTCATTTAAAGAAACATTCCTCAGGGTCTCATCCTAGCATGATGGGATTGGTGGAATGGCTTTCTCCTCCTCCTCCTCCTCCTCCTCTTCTTCTTCTTCTTCTTCTTCTTCTTCTTTTTAAATTTTTTTTGGAGGTATTTGCCATAGGGTACGTGTGCTCGCCAGAAAGAGAGAAAGCGAGAAATCACCCCCCAGGGGTGAATCTGGCTTCCTTGACCCACCATTTAACCGGGCCACACCACAATCCCACAATCCCTTATCCTCCATTCTCTCCTTGGGATCTTGGGCTCTCATGCACATGCGTTCAGCAGTTTAAGCCACTAGGTCCGGGACTTGAACCGCGGTTGACTACATGGGAATCCAGCAACATAGCCATTATGCTAACTGCTGCCCCCCCCTCTTCTTTCCTTCTTTGACAGCCTTCTTACTCAGGTTTCTTTCCTCCCTCATTCTCAGTTACCCTACACCCTTTCACATTCCTCTCCTCTCCTTTATGCAGAGCAATTCATTTCAGGTCCAGATTCCTGCCTCCAAATTTGTCGCAGATCTAAGGAAAACAAAGTGCTTTCAGATTTTTAAAAAATTGTATCTTTTATTTTTATGCCAGAGGGTGTGTGCGTGAGAGAGAGAGTGAGCACCCCCCACTGGGGCCTGGTCATGCTGTACTCCTCCAGTTCTCCATCCTGCTGGGGTCCTGGGCATGCACATGTGTGCCCAGTGTGCTTTCTTGTGAGCTTCCTGGTCAGCCATGTGGGATCTGGCTTCCTTGACCCCCCATTTAACTGGGCCCAGATTATTTCTGATGAAGGCGTAGAGCAACGTTGAGGCTTGAAAGGGCATTGGATTGTGCCTGGCATTCTTTTGTTAATTGAAAAATGTTTTCTGTTTTTCCTATTTTTTTCATAGGTATGTTGAGCAGAGTAACTTGATGATGGAGAAGAGGAACAACTCACTCCAAACAGCCACAGAAAACACACAGGCAAGAGTATTGCATGCTGAACAAGAGAAGGTAAAATAACGGGAGAGGAAAGCCCGGTCAGGACGTTTAGAGCTAAGGAGTGGTGTATGTACTGACCAACCAGCTTCTTGGCAGAATTTTACCATCAGTAGAAAGGGAACTAGAAACCTTAAAACAGATTTTCAAATATCCATCATCCCCATTTCTGTTTTATAATATGCTTTGTAGTAAGTTGACTCAAGAACAGTCACTGATGTTAGTAATTTGATTACACTAACAGTTATTAGAAACTACATTTATTCTATAGACAAAACCAAAGAAGAGTCCCATAGTTTTGCCACTTAAGAGATAATCACTGTTAATGTATTACTTATCCCTCTACTGTTCTCTCTGTGCTCGTACATGTGCGTGTGGGTGAGGGGTTGTATTTTACGCTTCTTTTTTTGGTGGGTGAGAAGGGAAGAGGTTTTTGCTATAGACTGTGTGTGTTCGCCAGAAAGAGAGACAGACAGAAAGCGAAAAATCACCCCCCAGGGGGAATGGCCACACCATAATCCCTTCTCCATTCTCCTCTTGGGATCTTGGGCATGCATGCATATGCACCCTGTGTGAGTTTAAGTCACCAGGTCCGGGACTCGAACTGTGGTTGACTACATGGGAGTCCAGTGACATAGCCATTACGCCAACTGCTGGCCCCTATTTTTTATGCTTCTAACAGGCCTTTCTTGCTAAGGATCATGGATTTTAAAAAGAACTTCTGCTTTGTTTGTCCTATGGCCAGAGAGTAACCATTCATTCTATTGCCTCTCTTTTTGACCTTATCCCTTCCCAGTAATCTCTTGGGTGTATGATGCTTGCTGTGATATTAGTGAACTCCAGGAGCCATGAGTAGATGTAGTCGTCTGAGCTCTGAGTTAGTTTAGTTTTCATTAGATCATTTAAAGAGGGACTTTCTTTTTTTTTTGGAGAGTTTTGTTTATTTGTTGGTTTGTTTTGTTTTGTTTTGTTTTTGCTATAAAGCAAATGCGCTCACCAGAAAGACAGAGAGAGACAGAAAACAAGAAGACCCCCCCCCCCCCCAGGGGGGATGGCCAGGCCGCAGTCCCTTCTCCTTCGTTCTCCTCTTGGGATCTTGGGCATGCATGCACAAACACCTGGCATGAGTTTAAGCCACTGGGTCCAGGACTCGAACCGCAGTTGACTACATGGGAGTTCAGCGATATAGCCATTATGCTGACTGCTGGTCCCCGAAGCGGGACTTTCTGAGTCAAACTTTTATTCTACTTGAGATGGATAAAACTTCTCTTATATGTGAAAGTCCTAGCTGCCATTGTCATCTATGTTTAACCTTAATGAAAACCTAAGGCTGCTTAATAGAAAAAATAAGTATATTAGAGCTTACTCTAAAGGGCATATGTATGATGGGTCTTCAAAACATTAATGGAAAAAATGCATATCATGAAAAATTATGCATGAATTTCAATACTTTTAGCACCAAAATAACCTACACATTAATTCCATTTTTTTTTTTTTTACAAATTTTTTGGAGTAACTTCATACTCTCAGAGGTACCTATTCATGATCTAGTTATTTTTGTTTTATATACAATTTTGTTTTATTTTCTCCACCTTCAGGATAGTCAAAATATCAGATCCTAAATGGAAGCTGTAAACTGATAAAGGTATTGGCAAAAGGCAAAGAATAAATGTATTGAAAACAGATGGGTACAGTGAGCACAGTAAGAAGGAACACTGATGATTTAAAAAACACAATTTTGGGGACCAGCAATTGGTGTAATGGCTATGTCGCTAGACTCCCATGTAGTCGATGGTGGTTCAAGTCCCAGGCCCGGTGGCTTAAACTCATGCTGGGCGTGTGTGCGTGCGTGCCCAAGATCCCAAGAGGAGAATGTAGGAGAAAGGATTGCGGCATCGCCATCCCCTTTGGGGGTGATTTCTCGCTTTCTGTCTCTCTCTGTCTTTCTAACGAGCTCATGTGCCCTATAGCAAAAACCTGTCAAAAAAAAAAATAGACAATTTTTGACAAGTGTGAGAGTAGTAGGAATATAACGTGATTCATGGAGGAGAACTAATGGTGCTATGCAAAATTACAAAAGCATTTACCCTTTAATCTAGCAGTTCTGTTTCTGGGAATTTCCGAAAGGGATACTTACACACAAATGAAATGACATGTGTTTGTTGTCCTGTGTACTGGGAAAAGACTGGAAACAATCCAAGTGTCTGGCAGTGCAGAATAAGCTGGTACATTCACACAGTGGAATTCTGTAAAATTATTACAAAAAGAGGAGGAAGAAGATGTATATGTACTGGGATCAGCAGATAGCATAGTGATTAGTGGTTATGTCACTGGACCCCCACATGGCCAACCGTGGTTCAAGTCCTGGACCCAGTGGCTTGAAACTCACACCAGGCGTGAGCGCAAGCATGCCCAAGATCCTGGGAGGAGAGTGGAGGAGAGGGGTGGTGGTGTAGCTATCCCCCTGAGGAGTTTCTTACTTTCCCTCTCCCTGTCTTTTCCCTTTCCCTGGCAAGCCCTCTGAGGCAAAAAACCTCTACCAAAAAAAAAATAAAAAAGATCTATATGTACTAATAGTATATGTACTTTGCTGTCTTTTGCATAGGAAAGGGAAAATTTAAATTATACTAGTATTTGTATAATTATATTAGTACTTTAATACAAATGGGAAGATGAAAAAGAAACCACCCATGTGCAACAAGATGGAAAAAGTAGGTCAGAATACAGGAGGAGAAAGGCCTCATTTTTTGTGTGTAAATTTTTAAAATTTTGGAGCAGCTAAAAACACTTAAAACAGGGGACCAGCAGGTGGCGTGGTGGTTAAGGCACTGGACACTCCCACATGGCTGACCAAGGTTCAAGTCCTGGAACTGGCTTTTTGCTGTCTCACT